CTAAGCCCGGAGCCGGACCCGGATTTGAACTTGATATCGGCGCTGCTGCTGCTGGTGGTGCCGTTGCTGTTGCTGCTGCCGCTGTCGGTGCCCGGAGCAAAGCCCCTTTCAACACACGCTGGGGTCAATTGTATGGCTTTTACGCTGTCGTAGCTCTAATATAATAATAAGCACTTGTGTATGGCCTTTTGTTGCTGCTGCGCCTGTTGCTTCTGAGCAGCAATCAATAGAGAAAAAGTCTTGTAACTTTTTCTTACTGTTAACTGATGCACAACAAAAAATTCCATAGAACATGTCATGTGCCTCGAACATTTGATGCTTATTTATGTGTTTTACTAATTGCTGCTTTTTTAGTGGTTTTTACTTGGAGCCAGACCCAGTTGGCGTTCTTCTCGTCTAACAGTAGCCAAAGAAAAATTTCGTTTAATGGCTTTTCCATAAACTGCAGCCACTTATGAGCTTGGCAAGCACTTTCTTCGTCTTCTCTGATGTGATTATCTGAGGGCATCATGCTGCTTTTTACGTTGAGTTGAAATGGGCTAAAATGTTTTGAAAGCTGCCTTTAATTGAATTTATCTCGGCTATAACCCAATAACAATAAGGCTGGGAAACTGCAGAAAGTTCTTGTAAAATATATAATTGTAAAACATTGGGTTTCTAATTTAATTGTCATTAATCATGATTTGAGTGGTATAATTATGAAACTATGTTAACCCTAATTTTTTATGAAATGGTAACAAAATGCAGCTAGTGTGAGGCCAGTCGAAAATATGTAGATTACCATTAAATTCGTTTATTTAAGACCATTTTGCATCGTAATTGTAATTGTTTACTCAGCGCTTTAATACGCGAAAATCCCATCGTTAAGCCCCTGGGGCATACAACGTTTTCCGAAATTCCCTAGGGCACTGAGCAATTTTCATAAACGCCACTTTCCATGCGCATCATTTGCCAAACAGTATCTGAAAGCAACTCGGTCCCATGAAGTAACAAAAGCAGTTAGTTTGTTGCTTGTTTGGAGGCACAAATTTGGGAGCGTAAGCCCCAATGACGGGCCAATAGACAAGCGCAGTGGAAATTTCAAGAGACAGCAAACAAAAATGCAACAAAAGCAGAACTGGCAAATGGTTTTTCCCATTAGTTTCAAATAAAACCCACTTTTACCCCACGTAAAAAAACAATTGCTAAATTGTTGTTGTTGTTGTTGCTGCTAGTGACTGCGTTGAGTGACAGGGCCAAAAAGTGGTAAGAGCAGAAGCAGAGCAGACCGCACTGTACGTGAACAATGCAAGCTAATCAAATAATGAAGTGTACTAACCGACGCTAAACAAAAGAAAGAACTTTCTCCGATGGCGCACTGCTGAGAACCAACTACTGCGGCCACTGCTTCTACTGCTACTGCTACTGCTGCTGTTGCTGTTGGTGATGATGACCCAATAAGCCAAACGCTTTTGCATAAATTTTAATGAATTTTACGCTAGACTGGAAACTGCCAACTGGCAACTGGCAACTTCCAACTGCCAAGTGGTGGCCAGCTAAAAAATAATTTGCACTCGAAATCAACGCGGCGTTAAATTGCGTCAACTCAGAATGCTACAGGCCAATAGATTTCGTGGTCAGATTGTTGACATGACATAAACACGGTTTTTGTTTATATTTCTTTTCATATTTTTTCGTTTCACTGTGAGAACTATGGCCAGCATAGGCATCTAACTGCGCAGCACACTCAGCTGCGCAATCTAATGGCAATAGCAATCGGCATGGCATTCTGGCCTATACCCAGTACCTGTACCATAACTAGTAACATCGTCTCCAGACGCAGACACACTACTAACCCAGTGGCGGTTGCGTGCGGCCAAGAAACTGGTTGCTCTTCTAATTGCCCCAGTCCAGCGGTGGTTAGTACGAGAATGACAACCCAGCGAGGTGCAGCTCGGGGAGTTCACTTCATTGCATTCAATTTTGCGGTCGATATGATTGGATGCGAAATGAAAAACAAAAACAATAACAAAAACTAGCTGGCAGACTGTTAATTAGAGCATAATGCCGTGCATCAGAAATATTCTATTTGCATTCTGTGGTTATCAAAAGCTTAAAAAATAAACAACAAACGACCCGGCTGAGATCTAATTGATTGTTTTGAATGCCTTTAATGCCGGGTAGCTGTACAAGGCCTTTCCCGTTAGCTTACGCACAAAGCAAAGATTCATATAAAAGGAGGCTGGGATGAAAGAACTTCAATCAAAATAGCCAAAACAATCATCAAGTTTGTTGCCTAAGTCTTTTGTTCACGTTGCTGCTAAAGCCTCAGCTTTAATTCTAAGAATATATTCCAGCGAAACGAAAAAGAATGATTCATATTTCGGACAAAAAGCACTACATTCTTATACAGACATATGCTTATGGTAAATTTATATCAGTGTCAACAGCAGGGCATCTCACACACATAGAACACTTTAAATGACACTTGTGAAATACTTGCTTGCCGATTCGCCTTTGACTCGAAGCACTTTAGTTGGCTTTTCGCTACATACCACCAAGCTAATAATGTATTGTGTTCTGAAACCCCACTAACTAAACCGTCGCTCAATATGAAGATATTTACGGTCGAATAAAACGCGTCATTTTTGGTCAAATGCGCAAAATCTTGTTTTTTATGCCCTGAAGATGAGTAAAAAGGGTATAATGGTACATACAAATGTATGTAACATGCAGAAGGAAGCATCTACGACCCCGTAAAGTATATATATTCTTAGTCAGCATCAATAGCCGACTTGATCTAGCCATGTCCGCCTGCCTGTCCGTCCGTATATACGAATGCGTTGACCTCAGAAGCTATAAGAGCTAGAGACTTACAGATTTGAACGTAGGTTCTAGTAGCCGCAAAGTACGAGTTTGTTTGCGATAATTGTTTCCAACTAATCGATAAAAATCGATATTGAAACCCTATTTTTGAGCTAATTTCGTAGGTTTTATAAGCTAGAGTCACCAAATTTGCTGTTATACAAACCAAGTATCTTTTAGTTTAAAGCCCATGAATTGCAAATACAAATTTATTGCGTTCCGTGGCGGGCATATGTTGCTTCTTTTTTAATTCAGCTTGATTTCGTTCAAATTAAATTCTTGGCTGTGGAGTATAGGGCAAATTCAAAAAATTGTTCTGGTTAAAAATAGTTACAATTGCAACTCCGCAAGAGGGAACTTTGCTAAGGCAAAGGAGCGCCTTACGCGAGTTACATTTGGTGTTGGTAGCAGAAGGTTCAGGGTATCCCATAGTCGGGCATTCCCGACTAGAGCACTCTTGTTCATTACTTTTTATTACTTTTGTTTGTTGCCTTTTTGTATTTAACGACCGGTATGACGTCATGGCAATACACATGCATATATTTAAGATACATATATTCATATGTGACTTGCCATATACATAATCCCCCAACGAGAGCGTGTGCGTGTGTGTGTCTCTCGGTGTCTCTCGGAAATTAGCATATTTTGTTTGCTGTGACATTGAAATGGATTTTAATGGCCCGTAACAGCAATAACAATAATATCAGCAAAACAACAACAACTGCTCGCTAAACTCTGCTAATAGGCAAGTCAATATTTGTATTGCATTTACATTGAGGCGACAATTATAATTAATAACATGGTCGATAGTTGTCGAATGCGTTGCGCATTTTAAATACCTGTCGATGCCCAAATATCGAAATCCACCTCTTCGGCTGTTGGTCTTTGTGTGAACAACCTTTGAGACTAAAAACAGAAAACGCAAGTTCGTTTCTTGTTTAATGAGTGTGAAAAGCAAAGCGGCGTTGAGGCAAAAACAACAGCAGCAACAACAAAAGTACCGCAAGGTAGCTAAATTTCAATTTAACAGATATTCAACACGCACTCATATGTGAGTTTGAGTGTATGTGTGTGTGTGCAGTCTTTAAGACAAACTTGGTAAACTTATATTATAATCTTCATTAATAGCAATATCCACATAATGAACATTAAGCCCTTCTTCATCTACATCCTCATCATCATCCTCATCATCATTCGCAGCAATTCAAAGCTGCTTCGCTGCGTTTGTTTGCCGTTGTTTCAGCTTCAAGGTTCCGTGAGTTTTGCATTAGCTAAAGCTAACAATAGTTATTGCTGCCTTTTATCGTTGTTTTATGTTGTTGTTGTAGTTGTCGTTGGTTTGCATCTAGTTGTAGGCAGCTCTCTTCGCCACTTGCGGTCGCCAAGCCAAAAACGCCTTGTAGACGCCCCACATGGGCGCTGGGCACTGTGCTTTATGTTTTATGATGTCATTTTACGCGGCCGCTGACATCAATAAATAGTTAGTTCAATATACCCGTTATATATATGTCTCTGCTTACGCAGAAACTGAAAGTTTTTGCTATTTTAAGCTGTCAATCAACTGGCCACAAGGAACGCTGAGACAAGCTGTATAAAGGCCTGCGGCTGAAATAAATTGTTGTGTATTTTCGCTTGGGCTTTCCATCGCAGCCAGAAGCTAACTAGCTTATAAACACAGACACACATTCGCTGCGGACATGCAGCTGCTTAAAGACCGGCTTACACCCATTTCGATTGATGCCAAGCCTGTGCAGCTGTCGCTTTAATAGATTTGTGCCATTTCATAAGCCGAAAACGAAATCAGAGCATTTCACGGCCGATCGCAGTCAATTGAAAATTGGCTTTTGGTAGAAGGGCTTGCGAGCAGAGCCACGGTCGGTAAAAGTTTGGATATCGGTCAGTGGCACATTCGAGAAGTGAAAAATATAAGAACAAGCGCACAAGTCGCTTGAATTGCCGCCTAGCTATTGATAGGCTGACAAACTGACAAACTGGCGAACTGGTGAACAGGCGAAGTGAGCAACTGCCGCAGCTGCGGCCGCTGCACAGTTCATTAATTTGTCTTGCCTGGAAAATTGCCGTGGAAAATTCATGTGCCCGCAGCGAATGTTGTTTGTACGAGTTTATGAGTGCCCCATGAAAATGGTCAGGTAATGTCAGAGCCCGCGGTTAACCTCGTTTTTATGCCTGGCCCATCCAGAACAGTATTGTATGCAAATGAAAAGTGAAATGGAAGAAAACTACGCGACTAGTTATAATTATTTTTGTACTTCTGCCACTCTTATAGCCCAGAGGGGCCCCTGGACTGGATGTTGGAGCTGGTGCTAACTTACCTGTGTGACTAGCAGCGCGCTGAGCAGCAGCCAAAGCGCCGCCATACTCGCGCCGGAGCCGTGAGTTTCCTTTGTGTGATGTATCATTGTGGGGCACGTTCGTTGCCTAAGTCTTTTGTTTTGTAGCGCCGCTTATCCGAATCCTTTTGGCAACTGCAAAAAGTCGTTGATCAAGCAGTTTGCATTAAGCAATTGTACAAATTGTTATTGCAAATTATGGCAAATTTCATGCGCCTCACGCAGTTGGCAACTGAAAAGCTGCTCCCAGCTGCAGTTCATAACGAATTACTCATTCAACTTGTTATTGTTGTTGTTGGGCTTGTTGTTATTTTCAAATGCTCATCAGACATTGACTCATCAATGCGAGAACAATGCGAGCTTTTAACAATTGCTTTGCTACCTCAGCTAGCCGATTTCCTGCGGTTTATTGCCTCGCTTTCAACTGCACAGCTGCAGTTCAGATAATTTCGAGATTTTTGTGGTTTTCTAGCTATAACTTTCTAGGAAATTTGAAGTACGTGAACGTGACACAAGCGTGTAGACGGCCGGCCACATTAATTTTTAATCTTTTAATATGATTTTTTATCTATGAAGCTTCTGCTGCAAAGTGGACCACAAGCGGCGCATCTGTTTCTCACGTACACGATTTCATTTTCTATTTCAGGTTGGCTGTAAAAACAAAATTAAAAGCGACCCCGACCTGATTGATCTGAGCACCGCGCATTAAACTTTAAAATGAAGCTGCTTTTTTCACGGAAAAGGTTTCGCCAATCGCTTCAAATGAAATAGTGAGAATGAGTGTTCGAAACAAGTTTTTCTGCGATACTCATATGTGTGAACACCAATTGTAGGTATCGAAAAAATATAAAATAAATGCCAATAATAAATTGGCGCGCTATATAAGAGATTGACAACAAAGCGCTAGCTGAGAGCGCGCTTACGTCATGGGATCGCATTGCCGCAAAAAACAAAGCCAAATTGTTGAAATGTTCATGAATTCGATCGAATGTGATACAATATTTTGTTGCACATTTGAAGTAGATTAAAATCTAATTAACTTCATAGAAGTCGTGCCAACATGTTTATAGCCTAACTAAAGAGTCTTATTAATTTTTCTTTTCTAAGTAGTTTTTAGTTGAAATAGCAACACACCCACATGCACTTCAGCTCAGCTACACGCGCACACCCAGCTGTTGAGAGCATTGAGTATACAACTAACATTTCATGCAAAAGTTAAACCCAACGAAATGGCTTTTGTTTGAACACATTTTATGCAATAGCCCTACAAATATTTGGCCAACAGTTGTTCGCCTTTCGTTAAAAAGAAAAAACAACATCTAAGAGAAATAATCAGTTTGGGTTAAAGCCAAGTTAAGAGCGGCACTCGCAGATCGGCGAGCTGCTCGCAGTTTTGCGCTAGTTTCAAGCATTTCAATTGACAACTTTAAACAGTTCCTATATGTATTTTGTTAATTATTTTGTAAGGTTTTTCCATGAAATTTGCCATTTGTATTTTGTTGTTTATTTATGCAGTGTTTTATCCATTGCTTTTTGAATTCACTTCGTTGTTGCGCTCTTTGGCTTATTGTTGTAAACGAGCAAGCACGTGAAAACAAGTTTTATGCAACAAGTTTGGCTGAATTTAGTGTTATTTTAGCTAACAAAAACATTTTATTGTAGCTTAAAACATGTATTGTATTTAAATTAAGTTAACTACACTCACACAATATTCAAATTTTATTGTTTCTGGCTGTTCTGAAACGCGCCTAACCGAAATGCAACTGGGAGTTAAAGTTTCCGCTTGACACGTTTGCAACAACTTTACGGCTCGAGAGTTTTGTTGGGACTGAAACTGGCAGCGTGGGGCCGTTGTTTGAATACTCTGGCTCCAAGCTGAGTTAGCATTGGCTGAGTTGCCGCTCCGTTGCTGTCATTCGTTGTTGTTGTTGTTGTTGTTGCTGTTGCTGTGTGTTCTCTGCGCTGTGAGCTCTTTGCTTTGGCTTTTTATTGTTTTGTTTTTACATACAGACATTTTTTCATGTCTCGCTTTTTGGCCACATCTTTCGTTTGTTTGATATTTCATCCACATCCACATGCTTGTGACGGTGAACCGTGTTGCCAGATCGCTGAAAAATGATTTAGTAATGTGCGCCCACTTGGCCTATTATCATTCATACCGTTAACGTTACGCTCTTGCTGATAAAAGTAAAGCAGGCACGTGTATATGTGTCTCTTAAATGTATGTGTGTGTGTGTGTGTGTGTGCATGTGTGACGGTGGTTGCTATATGCATGCGTACAAAGACTTGAATGAATCGATACTCCCGCAGCTTTACTATCAGCCGCATGCGCACTAGCTCCATGAGGGTAAAATTGCTCTGAGAATATGCATGCCATTTAGTGTTGATAAACGCAGCAAAAATAACGGAAAAGTTGCACTTTATTAGCATTTAACGAGGGCAATATTACGATATTTTTCATAATATTGCATTGTAATTTGTTAAGTTTCAGCTAACTAAGAATTGTGAATGGCCATGCTGATATTTTAATAAAAAAATTCGCGTGTTTACTCTTTCCACATCCATTGCATTCTCCCTATAGCTTTCGCTCGCGCTCTCTCACGTTACGCATTACATTTTGGTGGGAAATTAATATATAACAACTCGACTCGACGCTCAGTGAAAATTTCATCACCGTCGTTGATAGTTCAGCTATTTTTTGCATTGTGCGCTCGAAATTTAACAACCAAATTGAAAAAAGCATTTTTGTATTCATTTTTGATCATTAAATTCACTTAAAATCTGACTCGGTTATTTCATTAAAAAATTAATCTTTTAATTACACATCAAAATAAACTGTGAATTCCTCTGCTCAGTTTAGCTCAGAAAAAGGTGCGACTCAAACTCAAAGGAATTTGGAACTTCCAAAAATCGAAACACGGTAAAAATTCTGTATCACTAAGTCAGTCAAACTCTCTGTGCATGTGTGCGTGTGTGTGTGTACGTGATAAGCGTAGACAGACGCCGTAACAACAAACCCCAGGCAAAGGCTGAAGCAGAGGCTGAGACAGAAGCGCTTTATTGAATTAGACGTTACACAAAAAGCGCTGGGCGATTAAAGCGCGAGGATTGGCAGCCAGCTAACCCACAAACCCACAACAGAGACAGAACTCTAACCATAGTGGGAGGGGAAGGTAAAGGGGTAGTGGAAGTGGGGTCATAACTTTCGCGTTTGTTATATGCAGTGGTAATTGGCAAGTTAGCAAATTTTAATTAGAGCAGTAAACAAATAAATACGAGTATTTATAGCAGACAGCCCAGAAATATGCAACGAATGGCGATTTGTATTTTAGCTAATAAAAGATACACACACACCCGCATAAACACACACACACAGCATGTGGGCGGACGTGTCAAATAATGTGCCAGCGTATTTTAAGCCACAATGTGTGGTTGTTTTTTCCTCTGCTGCTGTTATCGTGCGAGTCTTTGACCTCTGCCGCATGCGATGTCATATTTATGTCACATTTTTGTCAATTTCCGAGGTTTCTCATTATTTGCTGCTTTAATTACCGTTGGAGGTACATTGAACGCCTCGTTAATGGAAAACAGAAGTGGTTCATGGGACGAACCAAACAAATGTGCCAACTAAGCTGTCAGAAAAGGAAATGCGGCCTGAGAATGGGTTCTTTTGCATTTGTGCGTCAGCAGAATAACGAGCACCCATCCCTGCATTCATTGTAATGTGTGCAACCAGTCCGGGAACTGTTTTAAAGGCACACAAAACCTTCTCCTAAGCCACAGCTGTGTGCTGAACATCATTCTCGTGTCGACGTTGATGGATCCCTGTGACCATTGAGCTGCAATTTAGCCCCATTAAGGGGCCAAACGGTGCAAAGTAGTTTGAAGCACAGATTTTAGTTGGCTTAAGAAAAAAGCTGTGGAAATTTAGACTCCCAGCACTTTTCTCTAATTATGATTTTAAAAGTTTACCAGCACCAGCCAGAAATACTGGTGTCAGTGTATCCCATTTTTATGCGTATATGTTTAAGCTATTTAGAATTCAGCTTTTTTTGTATAATTGACCAAATTGCGAATATTTTGATTTAAGTATTGCAACAAGATTGGTTTCCTAGGGGACTGTAGCTGTAATGAAAGCAATCAAAAGGTTCAGAGGATACTGATTCATCATTGTTGTATTTTTAGCTAAAGTTTGCGTGCAATAAACAATTTGAGACACTGCATGAAATAATAAACACACATTGCCCATATCAGCTTGCTTGCCACCAAATGTGCCATTTTCTGATTCCGTTTTTCGGCAGAGTCATCTGTCAACTTTGACATTTGTATTCAAGGATGTGTGCGGATGCGAGCGAGCAAGCGAGAAAGAGCGCGATTTTGGCGAAATGGCAAATGTCACCCAGCGGCAAGTAGCAGCACCGACACTTGCAATCACTAACACACACACACACACAATCAAACTCACACACACACACGCACCCACCCATGCATACTCAAACTCAACCCACAAGAGAACTGTTTTTGGTATGCCCACGCAAATGTGGCACAAAGTAAGCGGCAGTCCAGACCATGTGACGCCATTGCCGAACTACATGGCGTATGCGTAATATCGCCAGCTTTAAATAGCTCTTAATTAAAGCTTCTATCATAAATGCAAGTCCTACATTGTCCGAATCCTAGCTTCATGTATCTTTTATGACGCTGTAAATTTGCTATTTGCAATTCCAAGTCCCATTCGCTGTCTAACGAATTTCAATTTATGTACATATCATTAGAGCCTGCCAAGGACATACTAGAGAGGAGACCAAATTGCGTCTAAGGCCGTTGTGTCAATTTGTAGCACGCACATCCTAAGTCACTTAAGTTTTTGAATGAAGGCTCACGTAAGTGGGCCATGAGCAGTAGTAAAACATTTTTAAACTTCAACTTTAATACGAGGGTGGATTTAGTCAACATGTAATGACTTGTTTGAATTTTCCGGCGAAACAATTTAAATCCTTGGCGCTGACAGATCCACCAAAAGACGCCCTTGGGACAAATTAAATTAAATGTTTAAAATTTTTGCTTTCAGCTCACACATAGATATATTTATGCATGTTTGACAATGTTTATCTATTTACTTATGTAATTATATACGAATGGATATAGTGCTTATATTGAAAATACGGGTTCTTCACACTCTAAAAATATAAATAGAGTATACTACGCTTAACTAACGCACTTTTACTAAACCCTGGTACTAACTAAGTAACATCTCCAATTAAGTATATGGATATGTTCGTTTTAACGCAGGTCACAGCAAGTTGTAAGGCGTTTTATCAGTTTAATCCGATCGGTTAAAAAGGATGAAGTCTTATTGGCTTACCACTCATTTGCAATCCTTGCGCTTCGAAATTTTCAAGCCCCAGTTATTGAAGCTTTGAAACTTGTTTGCTTCAATCCGATCGGTTTCAAAAATGCAATCAAAGATAAATGTTCAAATTAATTTTAGAGATGTTTCACACTTTTCCGAAAATACATCTGGCTTTGCATAAAAAATGCGGCTCAGATGTTGAATTAATGAGAGTTTATTTTACGACTTCAAGCTTCTTACCACGAGACTCAAACGTTGATTCCAACTTTTAATTGTTATTTAATGTAAAAGGGGTTTTCAGTTTCAGTATTTTATTTATTTAAAATATTGCAAATCAACTTTATTTTTGCATTGGGGTATGTTTTCCTACATAATTTTTTGGTTTTGGTTTCCGTTCGGCTGGCTTTTAAGCAAGTGGTTCGGTTCATATTAAGAAAGAAATTATAATTCTATGTTAGAGCTGGCTAGGTTTCTGCCTGTTTCAGCCTTTGAGTTTTCTTGTGAAAGGTGCGATAACTTATCGGGGATGCGCAAAGGATATCTCCTGGCCTGGCACTTTTAGTTTTCATATCTAATGGTTTTTATGAATATATTTCTTAATTACTGCTTATCAGGTTTGTTCAATCTAATTTAATTATTGTATTGCAACTACGAGTAAATTTATGTAACACAACAACATCCCAGCAAACGTATTAAAAGTTTTCTATGTTCTTAACTAAATTGAGAGGCTTCAGTATGTAAAAGTATACCATATTGTAACAAAACTACTTTTTCCCCTACAATATTTTTTCTTATTCTCAGTTTTGCCTGTATCCTTTGTCCTATTTTGCGGCTGGGAGTGCATTGAACCAACAATAATAATCGTTCGAGTTGGTCGCACATACGAACAGCAACAACAGTAGCGACCACAGTTGGACAGACTGTCAGACAGTCAGTTGGACAGACAGATAACAGGCAGTCAGGCAGTCAGGCAGTTAGGGAGTCAGACAGTTGGGACGCCTGCCATTATGTCCTCAGCTGGCGACCAGATAGCTGTCTGCTTCTTTCCCTATGCAGTTTGCTGTTCGCCTGACAATCAGATGTTTGTTCTACGCGAAATTGTCAAAAGTTGTTGTGACAAGCGCTGAGTAAATAAATTTGTTTCACAAACTTAAATAAACTTTCTTTATTCTTTAATTGCAGGATTTAGCGGAGACCTTTAAAGTTGAACACGCAGCTGCAAGGCATCCAACTGAACAGAAGCTCTGCGCCACCGACACTGAACACCGGCCAACTGTTCGGGTCCATCGTTGTCCACGGTCAATATTAGCGCCATTGCAACTGCTGGGTGTGGGCGAATCTGCGCCCCGCCACCGGTAAGGCAGTGCCACATTGTCATATCATTCGATGCTAGCCATCGGTCCCACCGCCATTCACTGCCATTCACCATCAACTATTCATTTAGATATACACACGCACATATAGGTTATGCCATGCCTTGCTTCATATATGTATGCCCGTTTTTTCCGTTCTGGTTTTTAGTTTTTCAATTTTTCCGCTTATCAGTTTAGTTCAGTTGCCTTTAAAGCTTGGCTTAGCCATCAATTTTGAACAGCTTGTAGCTGGCCTGGGCACTACCTATGGGCGCACACGTCGCAAGCATTAACCCAAATGGCCCACAAGCCCGGGGCAGCTTGTTTGTTGTGCGTGTGCTGCGAGTGTTGGCTCATAATGTCAGCTTGAAAAGTTTCAAGTGTTTTGAGCCCAAGGGGCGCAGCCCATTCAAATATATAACACAAGAGGTCCAACCAAACGAGAAGGCCGTGCAGCGTTTTGACTACAAGTGTTTGACATACTTGACGGGCAACAAGGCGCCACCCTGCACGGGCCACTGAAATTCATTGATTTTTATTCATCAGCGAAGTCCACAAAAGGCGCACAAAGCCCATGGCTCCATGAATGTGGCTGCTTAGCACTTGGTAACCTGTGTCCTCAGTTGTCCTTGGCAACAGCTTGGCCAGTTGCAGTTGGGCTGGCACCTGTTGCCAGTCTGCTCATAATCGCTGATATCCTTTTCGATGTAGTTAGTTTTTATGTTCATTATGCACACGAGTGTTTTTTCTTTTATTCAAATTCAGCTGTTGCTCTGTTCAGTGATTATTTTGTTTCGTTTACCCCGACTTTTACTCCGTCCGTTCGACCATTCCAAGCTCAATAAAAATCACTTAGTTTTCAATACACAAATTTTCATTGCCATTCCATGCTCTATTAACACACGACCAGTTGGCAGTTTGTAAGTGACCAAAACGAATCGACGCAACGAAAATAATTAAATAAATTTACTAATCGTTCTCTCAACAAGATGACATATGAAATTTGAAATTGGGGTTCCTTTCTAAGAGTAGCATCAGCAATACGATTATTGCCAGCTCTTGTATATAGAATTTTTTTACGATTTTTACCATCTTTCACTGTGTGAATTTTCATTCGAAGTGACCATCAAGTATACGTCTAGTATGACGGTAATTAAGACTCAGGTCAATTAGGCACGACTACTTTATCCGGGCTAAAATCGGCCATATGGCGCCAACCTTAATTACAGATTACTGATTACAGATCAGAGCAGTATTTTATAGCATTTTATGTTTACGTAACGCTTTGAACGTTTTGCCTTGAATAAACAAATATACACATACATACTTACTGCATAAGTGTATGCCCCGATATACGATAAATGTCTATGCACTACAACAACAACTCGTTTATTGAATGCCTTAAATTCGAAGCACTTAACTAATAAGTTGGTCTTAACTTAACATTGTATTCTCTATTTCGTTCGCGTGCCGCACAGGAACCGAAAAGCAGCACCCTGAATTTCTCATCGTTTAAATCAAGCTTCACTTCCAATGTTAATTTCCTGAAGAGAAGGTAAAGACCTTAAAAGGAAACGCCCCTTCCTTAGCGGGGAGGGGGCTTCAGTTCAGGACGAGACTAATTTGAGATTTCATATGTTTGTCTATTTTCTCTCCCTCCCGCAAATGGTGCACTTTCTCTCTCTCTCTCTCTCTCTCTCTCTCTCTCTCTCCTTCTATTTCTTTTGCTCTCTCACCTAACTGCGCTGCACCTTTCACTTGTCTACTTGTTCCACGGTTCGCATTTGAAACGACTTAACAAAAACCACAACAAACCCGCGCAACAACCACACCACACACCCAACACAAACATCTAATCCACATTCACGCAACACGTGCAGATTCAGCTCGGGAGACTTGTCTTCCGAGGTCGATGATGTTGATCCCAATAGCTTGCCGCCAGCTGCGCGTCCTATACAGGACCAGCCAACCAAGCCGCATGTTGCCGGCGGTCCGCCGAGCATGCCGCCACCGCCGGCACCGGGCCAACTTCCGCCGCAGCCTGCCGGCGCAGCTCCGGAGCTATCGCTAAGCTTCGGCGCTGGCAAGGCACCGGCTTCGGCGGCTCCAGCGCCCCCGCGAGGCGTAAGTGCGCCCACCAGCCCGGCCAAGTCGCGAGAGAGTCTCTTGCAGCGTGTGCAGAGTTTAACAGGCGCAGCACGTGATCAGGGCGCTTCCATATTGGGTATGTTATGGCTAAATAACAAACATGAATTCCTTCGCAAATTCTCGGGTCCAATTTTATCCAACTTCGTGTTTCATATAATCTCATGTTATCGACTTCATAAAGTTTGTAATTCCCTTTTTTCAATTCCAAATATTTGTCAATTTCAATTAATTGTATAACATCTAAACAATATCAATTAACATTTTAAATGGAAATCTATGGGTTTCAGTAGAATTCAAGAAAATAAATTGTAATGTAAATACTTTTTTAATTTTCAGCTCTGTAGTGTTATTTCTTAATTAAAATACTAGGTATTTATTACAATTTAGCAAATCAAAGAAGAAAGCATTTTCAGTAATAGCCAACATTTAGATAGGTTCGCTTTGCGAAATTTAAGAGAAAATGAATTTCAGAGTTCCCCGGACAACTTCTGCAAAGTTGAACTTGGGAATGAAACTTAAATTAAATTATTTGCTTATCTCAATTAACTTTTACCACACGCAGGAGCTGCGGTTCAGAGTGCCACTCAGCGTGCGCCCACCTTTAACAAGGACAGATACTTCACGCTACTGGTGCTGGATGATCAGAACACGGACTGGTCGAAATACTTCCGCGGCAAACGTTTGCATGGCGATTTCGATATACGCGTCGAGCAGGCAGAGTTTCGAGTAAGCTTGCGTCACTCTTAACACTAAAACAATTGTGAGCCCTTCTGTATTATCTACTGTGCATCCGCAGGACATTACCGTGGTCTCCAGCGCCGATACCGGACCGGTTGTTACAATGGCCGCCTATCGCAGCGGCACCCGGGTGAGTTTTTCCCCATTTTCGGACGTTTCGTGTTTGTTCTTAATTAGTGCAATGCGCACAGGCAATAGCCTCTGTCCTGCGCTCCCGTCCCAAGACTGGTCCCTTCTGCTATTAGGTGTCTGTTTATTTGCAGTTCAGCTATTTTTGCTTTTATTGCCCTCACATTTCAACTTAATTCGCATTGGAGTGGCTTAAGTGCTTTGCTGCCGTCGCCAAGCCAAGGCTCCGACCGGGCACGCATTCAATTTACGTGCAGTCCAAAGGATTCTCAAGCACTACGTTTATCAACACTTTTCCAGCATTCCACATCACTTGCGTCCGAGTGTGCATAGTGGTGATTAAATAATCCCACAACTCTTTAGTTCTGGTTGCACTCGGGCCAGTAATCAAAGCACTTGCAGCTTAAGCACTTCAAGCAGGACAACAGTCATAGTAGAAGTGGGTACAAAAATAATTTTAGCCCAATCAGCTGCACCGTCTGCAGTTAGCATATTTAATTTGCGAAGCTATCTTAAAACATAAAAGTTCTAGTGCCTCAAATATGATTGGCAGTTCTTAGTATCTACGTATGTAGAATTATCCTAGTCAAACATAATACTCGCTCAACCATATACACAAATATGTTAATACAGGCTGCTTTGGGCAGATACCGTACTTTTAAATTGAAAATTCTGTTGCTTTAGAGTTTATCAATTTTCTCAAGTTATATTTAATAAACACTTTAATTCTGGCATGCAATATCATTTTAATATTTGAAAAATATGAGCTAAGTTATGAACCTTGTCTAAGGTTTGCATTAGACACAAAATTATCCGAATTTGTATTCGATAGACAACGTATCCGAGACACTGTTGCATACACTCTCACCACAGTTATTTCTTGGCCCCGCCTAAAAGTATGCTGTGAAACGTTTAAATCGCCAATTCCTTGATTGCTGCATAGCACGAGGTACGTGATAAAATTATCAGATGGTTACGTGCGGGAGAAGTGCATGCATTACGTAAATGTGTATATAAAATGAACACGTCTGCATCTTGCGGCTGAGCTGTCTGTCATATATAATAACGGATCAGCATATAAGTTGATTATACTCATGTATGCACGATTCGAAGCAACACATTGTATTCTGGGCTGAGCCTGTGTGAGGCAGTTAAATGTAATTAAATGCGTGCAAAGGATGCTGGAAGTGCGAGATAAACGGCTGTTTTTCGTATTTATTTTGTCACTTTGCATCTAATTAGTTAAGAGTCAACTAAAATTACAAAATTATATTTTGCTTTTCATATGTGTTTCTAATGTAACTTTGGAATATCACACACCAAAACAAAAAAAAAAAACAAAACAAAAACAGGTTGCCCGCTCTTTCCGCCCGGATTTCGTATTGATTCGTCAGCCGCCGCGTGACGGCTCCAGCGATTACCGATCAACAATACTGGGCCTCAAATACGGCGGAGTGCCCAGCATCAACTCTTTGCATTCCATCTACCAGTTTCAGGTGAGTTGAGAGCTGCTTCCGAGTGCCTGTTGTGGGTGTTAATGGTGCAATCTTTCTCAATCTTTTTATTGTTATTGGACAGGACAAGCCATGGGTATTCTCGCATCTGTTACAGCTGCAGCGCCGTCTGGGACGCGACGGCTTTCCGTTGATCGAGCAAACATTCTTCCCGAATCCGCGTGATTTGGTAAGTGTATTAAACATTAAGAGCTAATTACTAATTAAGTAGCTACATTGAATCGTGGTCAAATCTAAAAGCCATTCATTAATAAATAACACATTAAGCATAACGTACAAATTAAAGCTCTACACAAAACTCAATTATAAAATTTAAATAAAAACTGTAGCATAACAAAAGGCACTCCGGCCGCCTTTTGCATATTCTACGGATAGCTTAGGCATTTTTTGTAGAGCTGCGTGCGTCGCCAGCGGCAGCGCTGGAAGTCGCCCATCGGCGATTTGGTGTTGTGGGGCACGCAGGCAGAGTAGTCCCGCTCGCACTTGCCGTACGGCGACCACTTGCATCCGTCCGCGTACTCACGCTGTCGCAGGCACTGCATGCCAAAGCATGGGGTGATCTGTGCGAGCAAATGGGAAAGTTTCGATTGTAGCCGGCAGCTATATTGATTGGGGCACATGCTGGCTTGAGCACACTTACCGTGCAGTTACAGGCCAAGCCGTAGGCGCCGCTGAAGCCGTGGCGCTCGCTGATTGTCATCTTAGTGTATTCCTTGTAGTAGCTGCACAGATTTAGTTGAGGCATGCGTCCAGCTATGATGTACACCTTGCCAATGTCCAGCTGAATGCCGCACATCGCGTCATTATTGGGCGTGGACAGACGACCGTCACGCAGCATTCTGCGCGCCTCCGGTGTGGCCTAGGCGAAAGAAAAACGATTCGGCTGTAGAGGAATGATATAGGGGCAGTGCCACGAGTGGCGAGTGCTTACCTTATAGGTGCGCTTTATGTGCACCTTGTAGGTGGTTTTGCCCGGCTCGATGGAATTCGACTTGCGCAGAACGCGCAGTTGCACAACTGTCAAGGAAGTGCTGGCATTTTAATAGAATTCTCCAAGGATATGTGAGCATCCTTTACACATAGCACTTAACACCCCATTGCTTCTCATTTCTACTCACCATAATCAGCAGTGCAGTAATGCGTCTGTGGATGCGAGGGCATGCACATACAGGCATCTGCGGAGCGGCCATAAAACGCCAGCACTGCGAACAGGGCGAGCGCCAATAAACTCAAAGGCTTTGTTAATTCCATGGCGCCGTCAAGCTCGGCAGCTTCAATCCGTGTGTGTCGCCTTGCTAACACCCAAGCCAATAACAAAACGTGTGCTGGGCTGTGAAGCAAAGGGAAATGTGTAAGATTGCATTTTATTATGATGATCATTTACTGCTTGCGGTAACCCAAAGCCGCTGCTGAAGGTCATTCGTCAGCACTGCATTAACTCTGCCTTACTTATGCTCTAGGCTTATCTTTTAAACGTGCTGCCACCCATCACCCAAACATGCATCCATCAAGGCGCTGTCAAGTGTCACATATTACGCATACGCCCCCAATGTCCAAGCAATTAATACTGTCAATGCGTCTTGCCTGTGTCACGCATCATTATCAGTGGGGAAGAGGTTGCCGTGTTCGCTTTGTTTGCTGTAGGTTACATTTACTTTTGCAGCCACTTTATAAAGTGTACTCAGCAAAAGCTGCTTTATTATCTATTTGAACAGCTCGCATATATTTTAATGGTCATTCGAATTCAATTTAATGTTATTCTCGTGTTGTGCAATCAATTCGGATGACCCTGCATGAGCGGCACGCATAAATCGCATTGGAAAACTATACAAAAAGTAGTTCAATTGCCGCCAAATGCATGCCAGCCATTCCATTTAGTATTGTTTATGGGAAATTCATAGAAAACTTGAGCCAACGAAGTTGAAATCCATTGCAAAGCTGCTGCCGTGCATATATATCAACGCAAAAATATTGTATAATATCGAGAGCGGGGCGAAATAATCAGTCCAGTCAGTCGAACTCGCATTTGCAGTCGCAGTCGCAGTCCCATTTCCAGGTCCCAGTCATCGTGTCGAACTGATCGACAGAGATAGGCAGGCCCATATAGACAACATATGCAATGGCTATGCCAGGCAAAGGCAAATCTAAAGGCAGCACCAGCAGCAGCGGCAGCGGCAATGTGGCAATTAAATTGAAATAAAATTGAATTAAAAGCATTTTGCGGAAAAGCCACTAGAAAAACAACTGAGCAGGGAGAAAGACGACGACGGGGCCAGCAGAAAAGAGGGGATGCACAGTCGATTGCCTTATTGATTGAATGCAAGCAAGAATAATGCATCAAACTATTTATTAAGTGGCAGTCCAAAGTGGCAGCCAGACAAGTAGACGCCTCGGCCCTAATGGGCCAACTGAAGAGCGCTGCTGGAGTAGAAGCTTGTCAAATCTAGATCTGTGTCGTAATATCTTTATGTTCTTAGAATTCTTCATGAGGAAAGTTTCCTTTCAGCTTGCCTGGCTTCGCTGCACATTTGTTTTGTATTGTTTTGTTTTGTTTTGTTAGGCTGTTGTGTCTTGTCGGCCTGGATTTGACACTTTGGCTGGCAATTAACGGCGTGGATTTGTTTAACAAACAGCCAACAAGACAACAAATAAGTGAACACACAACTGGCACGGACACATTCGGAACGTCAACAGCGTTTAGCAACTAAATCAACTGGAAAGCCAATAGAAAACAGGAAAAACTTTTTACACTCGCTGCAAATTCGCACGATTTTCTTTCGTTTAGCTTTCCACGATAGCAGCTCCCACCCATCGCCATCGGCAGCCACAATTAGCGTACCCATATATCACACAGCCATATTTTAAAGTTGGCCCCAACGAGTAGTCGGGGGCAGCAGTCAGCAGGCGTTGGCGGCATGTCAACGCCAAAGCTAGTGCTGATGGGGGAAGGTGGGTGGGGATACGGGGCTGAGGTGGACTATCGATGCCAGAGGCAGCGGTGTTTTGTTGACAAGCTATACATGTGTCAATTAAATGTTATATATCATAGCACCACTGCATACACACACACACACACGCACACAGAGACACACACACAAACACACACAGACACATGCATACACACATAATTGTGTATGCATAAACACTTATGGGCTGTTGCTTTGACGTCACTTTGAGCGTCGTCTAATTGCCACACTTGTTGTTGCTGTCGTTGTTGTTGCTGTTGTTGTTCTGTCGTCATCAGCATGGAAGTTGACATTTGACACTGAAACAGTCGGCAGTCGGCTTCAGCATCTGACTGTCACTTTGCTATGCGGGCCGCCAACAACAATTTCGAAATACACATGCACGCATGCATGAATGTATATTGTCAAATATCGACATGACTTTAATTAGCATTGATTTCCACTTTGCCCTAAGCCCATTTAAACGAGACTAACAACAACTGCAACAGGGGGGCGCGGGAGAGCATCACACACTGTGAAAGAAAGTGCCCCAACTAAAGCAACTGGTGCTCATATGACATATATAAGATTGGTGTCATGGGGTAGATGGGGAGATAAACGATAGCAATCAAAATCGAGATAAGATACTGACATCTTGAGAATGCAGATACACGAGAATTGGTGAACATATATTTATACTTTTTAATGCCTTATATGTACTGTCGTCCAGTTCGCACTTAGCAAATGATGGAAAAGCTGATTTGTTCGTCAAATTAGACTCTGAACTCTTAAAGTTAAAGCTGAAAGAATGTGTTTAGAATTTCTTATTAAAATAAGCTCGATTTGACGAAGAAACTTAAGCACTAAATGTGAAAGTTTTCAAAGATTCCATTTGATGGCTGCAAATTGAGGTTGGTAGGCGCCAGGGGCGTCTCATTTTGTCCAAAATAAAAAAAGTTTCTTCTTACGCTCGGTAGTTCGCCTAATCAACAATTTGGATTTGCATGTTATATATTATTTTTATATCCTGAACCCAGTGAAAATGGGTAAAAAGGGTATAATGTATTTGTGCAAATGTATGTAACAGGTAGAAGGAAGCATCTCCGACCCTATAAAGTTTATATATTCTTGATCAGCATCAATAGCCGAGTCGCATGGTCTCAGAACTTATAAGAGCTAGAATTGAAATTTTAGCTGTAGGTCCTACTAGTGCCCGCGAAGATCGAGTTTGTTTCCGATATCTATAACTTGCTCCGTTTCCAAGTAATCGATAAAAAACGATATAGAAATGCTGTTTTTTTTTTAGCAATTTTGGTATATAATAAGAGCTAGAGTCACCAAACTTGACATGTAGAATAGAATAGAATGGTATATATATATATCAAGTATCTTTCACTTTATAGCTATAACCACCTCCCCGCTACTACCTCATAGTTATAAATCAAGTAAAAATACCAATTTATGCTGCCCACCTATATAAGCCACCATTAAATGTAATTGACTTTTTGAGAATACACAAATATTCTATAACACAATAAGATGTACTGTAAAAAATTTCATTAAGATCGGTTAAGAAACACAGAAATGATTAAAGAAAACGTGTTTAGACTTTTTTTTTCTCTTTTTTTTTTAATTTTACTTTATTACTACTAAAGCAAACAAGCGCGTAGGGCGAACTGCTTGGGGTTGGAATAAGAGGGTTCAGGGTATCCCCTTGTCGGGAGCTTCCGACTAGAACGTCTTACTTGTTTTGATGTAATCTCCTTATTAATTCTGTCATTCGGTCATTTTAATATTAATTAACGCTATTTGAGCCAAATATATTCTAATTTTTATTCTGATTCGAGTAAATGATTAGAAAACTGTAACTCCAGAAACGAAACAGTTAAACTCAAAGCGATTAGCAGCTATTTATTTAAATGCACTTCCAAGGAATAATTAAATATAAGATAATATACACTCATTGTAGACTTGTTTTATTTTATCATAATAATACGGTAAATTTTGACTGCCAGTTGCATTAACTTATCATTTTGTGGGAATTTACCGCTTATCATATGCAATAATTTAATTTTGTAGTAAAGTACCCGACAAGGACTTACACTCTTAGATATATAAATGCATATTTATTTAAATACTTGTTATACTCACAAGCACAAACAACGTGACAGTGCGGCGCAGCATGTTCTGTGTTGCAGTTGAATTTATACGAAATAAAACAAAG